TACTTTTGCTGACGAATTCCGCTTTGACCTGACCCTCTGCCTGGCTGGTTACGCTTTATTACTTTTCTGGCAGAGAGTTTCGGTCATTAGGTATGCATGTCGCGTCCCAATGCCAAATGTACTCTATCTCTGTGAAGGGTATGAAGGGTTTTCAGGAATAATGGTAGGGATGGCATGCATCCCAGCATCCCAAAACAGAGTGTAGAGTATTGCCTCAGAGTTCTCTTTTGGGCATCACTCTTTACCCAATTTCCACTGCATTTCTTGGCCATTTGCGGTCTGTCCTTTCTTGGCCTGTCGTGTCCTGTCCCCCAGCTTGGCTTTAATAAGAAATGACGTCTCAAGGAAATGGCCAAACACCTGCTCCCATGGATGGCCCCCAATGCAGTTCACAGAACTGGCAGAATGCAGCCAAAAACACAGACAGAGACACAGCCTGGAAGAGGAGAAGTGATAAAAATTAACGACTCCTACGGGAGAGAGCGGAGAACATTGCCAGGAACAAGTTTTTAAATTTTTAAACATTTAATTTTGAGCAAAGAATTTTATTTGATTTGAATATGCACGAAGGGTCCTGCTCTCCCTCTCTCTCTATCTCTCTTCTTGTGGCCTCGGAAAATTGAATCCGCATTCGAGAAACTATTTGAGAAAAACACACACCTTGCAGGTGGAGTGGTGTAGCAAGGGGTGGGTGGTGTTCAGGGCAAGGGCAAAAGACAAAAATAACTACATAAATAATTTATGCAATAACTGAGAATGTGCCACACAGAGAAAGAGTGCGAGGAAAAACAGTATTTTCCATTTTTCTTACAACTCCAAAATGCTGCAACATTTTGATTGCTCTTGCCCAGCTCTTGCGCCCTTTCGTAAAATGCCAACAACAATTTGTAAATGATTAATTCGTAGAGTTCAAAAATACTTTCAACAATAATTTAAACGCATTATAATGGATCCATTTGACTTTGCGGATTGGCTTCTTGAATTCTGCCATAATTATGTGAAAATTCATTAAAAATTGTTTACTCATTGAGAACAAACATTGTGCTGTGCTTGTACAGCTTTCTATTCCATCTTTAATCCCATGGGGATAGGACTAGAGCACGCTTCGGGCTAGAGTTTTCCCATTTGCTGTGTTTTCTGTTTGCTCAGGCATTCAATTCAAAGCAAAAGGCCAGCCATTGGATTTTATTTATTTGCGGTTTCACTCACCCCTTGGAATGTCCGTGAGGACTAGAGTTTCTATCACATAATGTGAATATTGTCGGGACGTTGTGTCCTTCGAAATTACTTGAGCCTGATTTTCAAATTTCACAACTTTTACGCGCATAACTGCATTGCATTGCCTTGCAGAGCTTACAACTGAAAGCTTGCTCAATTGCATGGCAAACGAAAGCTTTGGCCGCCAGCTGCAGCTTTGCGCCTTTTTTTTTGGGCTTCAACTAGAACACAAAATGACTAGAAAATAATCATCAAATTGTCAATTGAACCGAAAATATTATAGTTAAAGTTCATTTAGCCGTTCACTTGGCAACTGGCACTGGCCCACAAATTAAGTAAAGCAAATATAGGAATGTAGGAAAATGGGCAACGGAAGTCGAGGGATAAACCGAAACTTGGGAGCACCCACAATAATAATTAGGCACAACAAAAGCGGAAATATGCAACGGGCCGAGCAGCTGTTTCGCAACTGAGAGCTGAACGAGAGGAGAGTGAGAGAGAGGGCCAGCAGCAGGAGAGAGAGAGAGAGAGTAAGCTTTTTTTTTGGGGCTTGTGCTCGCTGCAGTTTCTATGCCCATTGTATTCCACGAGGAAAGGGTATGTGAGGCTAAGGCCAAAGCTGGAAATACCCGTATAGCAGATGACTCCGCGAAAGTGGCGAATGATTCCCATCATCTTTATTTTTTAACTAATAATAATTAACTAACTAATGATTCCCATCATCTTTATATTTTAACTAATATTAATTAACTAATTAACTAAAAAAGAGCACAGTACCTGCTGGCCCCTATCTAGAGATGTGCCCCTGCAATGCATGGTATCACCACGTCGACTCTCTCTCTCTCTATCTTATTTGTTTGGCTTTGCACTTTGCGGCCTTTGCTTTTTTAATTTAAATGTTAATCTGCTTGCATTCGCACCGCCCCCGCTTTCTGCTACCCGCTGCCATCGCATTTTTCATAATTCCTGCTCTCAGCCCTTTGGCTCATCTGCCATTTCATACGCAGTGCCATTTGCATATGAGCCAGCGGCAGACCTGACTGACGCGAGAGCTTGAATGACGGAAATGGTTTAAGTGCCGCAGTCCTATACTTTTTCAGCCCACTCCCGATCCTGCCCTCTGGCAGTGCTCAAGCTCACTTAAGTTTTTATATCCTCGTGTTGGCTCACACACACACACGCAAGCACACACATACACGTGTCTCTGACGTCTCTTTATTGTGTATTTGTCTTGGCTGCCGCAAATAAAGACGGTCTAAATGCAAGACGTCGCAGCAATGGGAATGGGAATGGGAATGGCAATGGGAATGAGTACTGAGACGAAGACCAACTGAAAGAAGAAGCAGAGGCAAAAGCAGTTGTACAACAGGCAGGGGCCAAAAGGAGAGAGAGAGAATTCATTAAAAATTAATCCAACGAGTGCGAGGTATATTTGGTCCGCCTCATCCCCATCCCCCATTCCCCCCACCCCCATTCCCCCTTTCCGTCGTCATCCCCATGCGATCCCAGTACACTGGTTCCTGTTCCTTATTCCTGCTGTCTGCTATTCAATTACGTATGCCACGGCAGCCATGAAAATGACCTGCAGCGTCGTCGTGCCCCAGCCACACGCTTTCCACCGCTCATCCCCAACCCACTCCTCATCCGACAGAGCAGTAGTAAATTCTAACAGCACTTGGGGTTCGCCTTACCTTCGACCCTAGCCATAGCTTCTCCTTCTCCGGTTGGGGGCCTCGCCTCGCCTTGTCTTGGCCTGGCTCGAATGGCTGAATGGCTGGCTGGCTGGCTGGTTGGTTGGTTGGTTGCTTGGCAGTTTTATGTGTTTTGTCTTCGCATGCCGCATAAACGGAATTATTTACAATTTATTTTTACCTGAGCTAAGACCCAAAGAAGTAGAGACCGAAGGCAAGACCAAAGGCAGTAGCAGTGGCAGTGGCAGTGGCAGTGGCAAGTGCTATGGCATTTGGTTGCCGCTTGTTTGTTTTTGTGCTATTCAAAATGTCTTCATTGCCGGACAGAAAATGCCACCGGACCCTTATGCTGAAACAGGACCCAGAGAGGTGGCAGGACTCTGCTTGATTGCCTTTAATTTGAAGATGGAACGACTTTGGCTCTCGCCTTGGACTTTTAATTCTAGTAGCATCAAGTGGAAAGCATCGATACTCTCTGCTGATTGATGTTGTATCATCACCGTACTCCCAGCCAGACTGCAGCTATCAAGGATATTCTGTTATCATCTTGTGTGCTGTCAATCGATGCACATCGAGGCAGTAACTAAATAAGCATTTAAAATATATCAAATAACGAATGAATTGAATCGTTTTACGCTTTAATAATAGTAGTAGACATTTGGTTTTTGCTGTTGATTGAATACAGCTATTATCCTTAAATGCAGCTTCAAGTATTATCAATTGACTCTCTCTGCCCAAGTACGATTAGCCAATTAATTAATTGGATTAGTCATTCCCAGCAAAAACAAATCGTTTCGTTTGCTGCCGCTCTTGTTAAAGAGCTCCACAAGTGAGTGCCAACAAATGCTAATACAAAGCTATGTACATTCAATTGAAAGATGAAACCAAATCATCACACACACACACACACACACACAAGAGAGAGCCAAAAGCTAGACAAACACTCTGCATAAATTGGTGTTGGCTTAAATGCAGCTGAAGGATGCCTGAAGCACCGAGCATAGTGCATTAACGCTCTGCCAGAGGAGGCACCACTTGAGGAGCATCAGGCAGACTCTCTCGCACTTGCACTCATCATTATCATCATCATCATCGTCATCATCATCATCCACATCATCTTGCAGCACTCATAAGCACAAGCATGAGCGATGATAAATCATTAGGGGCAACGTGTTGCGGCCAACTTGACTTGACAGTCACTGCAGCATTCCATTTTGTCTGCCACGCAGCCTGGTGAGGGGCGCCAATGCGGCGCTGACTGAGGGAGGGCTGTTAGTGGGAGTGGCAGTGGCAGCGGCAGCGGCAGTGGAGCTTGTGCTGTGAACGAGTGCAGAGGATGGTCGTGATGAGAGTCAGTGATGTATCCCTGTACCGGGAACGATCTCAGGGTGCCACTTGTCTTCTTTACAACAGCAGCCCCTCCCCATTTGCAATTATGCAACATTGAGGCAGTCAACATAAAGCATCTGACCCTCCCCCAAGACCCGCTCGTCTGACCATTGTCATTCTCCCTGCACCGGCGATAATTATTAATGTGTGCCTCAAGCTGGAAAATAATGATAAACTGCTTCGCAGATACTCAATGCGCTTTGGGTACGGGGACAATTTATTGACGGTACGTGTTGGATAAACATTTGGCACCCCACCACCCCAACTGCCACCCCACTCCACCTGCTCGCGCTTATGTGCCTACGCGAAAGGGTTCGGAGACCTAAATGCATTTTAAGCGACTATTTTGTAGCGACTTTTGCGACCGCAATGCGACGCTTGTTGCAAATATGCAAATAAGCTGCAAATACAAATATTTTTCGCTTTCAAAACATTTGCATTTTTGCAAAAAAAAAAATAAATAAAAAGGTTACGTATACGCAGCGGGTAACCCAGAATGTCAGCTATTCCACAATCTATTACCACGCAGAATTTATTTGATTATACAGCCAAAAATCTGAAGAGCAACTCATTAGTGTGCGTCCCAGGTATTTCCTGGATGAATGTGTTTTGTATTGCCTGAGTGTGGCACCACAATCTGCGGCATTCGCTCTCTGTTTTGGTCGTAAGTGTCTGTGGGGGACAACATTATGTGTCGTCATGTAAGTTATCTGGGCAAATATCGCGGCTGGCTATGCTCCCAATGCATTCGACGATTGTTCGCTGCGTCTGCGGGCTTTAGTTGTTTCTTTCTGTGATGCTTGCGCTGATCCTTTAGATGCTCTTCAGCATACTCGGCCTGCTCTCCTTCCACCTTCTCCAGCACGAACTCGTCCATCTGCTCAGGTGGTGTAGCCCGCAGGGCTAACCACAGCATACGAGCTGCCAGAATCATGCCCCCGAGGACCATCCAGATGCTCGCACTCATCCCCGGGCACGAGGATTTGACAGATTTGACAGTTGTATAGACAAAGGGATTTATCGTTTTCCTGTCCGGGAATGGCGGTATTGTGAAGTTCAAGCCATCGGCCATTGTCGTATATTATTTCTCTGCATGATTGGGGGCTATGGCTAGATGTTGGCTATTTAATTCTATTCGATTTACTTACGTATCGTTCGAGATACTTTCGTTTCAGCTTGTGCGAGGAGTCTACTCGGAATTGTTTGTGTGACTGGAAGTACGTTGAGTGCCTGGATCTCAGAGTATAATCAAGGTAGACCATCTAAAAACGGGATAAGTAATGTAACAGTCGTAATGGTTAACCTTATTCGTACTCGTACATTGTTGTTTTTTTTTTTTTCGCCTGCAGTTCCTCGAGCTCAGCTGTCCTGTAATTAATCAGTCGACAAATGCAAATAACTTCCCTTGACTTGACGTTCCATCGTTTGTTCGTGTTCTTGTTCTTTCAAATGTATTTGTGACTCTCTCGAGTCGTGCTGTTAACTGTGTTAACCGGAAACGGAAATGTAGCTTGCATAACAAATGAGACTGCTCCATTCTGACGAGTCACCAAGGCCTTTCGGCATTGTTCTGTTGCCCCCCATCTCTTCGCTCTAAATTGTTTTTCCACATATTGCCCAGAGCTGGGGTGGCCCATTGTATGCTGATTGGCATCACGACTGGCGATGACAGGCCCCCCAGTTCCAGTTCCAGTTCCATTTCCAAGTCACTCATCCGAGTGGTGCCTACTCAAGACACACACAGCCAGAGTTCGGCCACCAAGTGGGTTCTTTTCGTTGGGCCCCCAACCGCTCCTCTTGCGCATGAAAATTGCATTTCGTCTGGGAAAATTTATGAACAGCATTGCCATGCGTCAAATAAATGTCAAAAAGTATACCCCAAAAGTACCGCCATTACGGCAAAGATCCGTGAGAGCATCAGTATTCAGATTCGGTTGCATCCAACAGTGAAAAAATGTCCGCTGTTTTTTGTTTTTTGTTTTTTTCGTGTTAAACACAATTTTTTAATGAATTTTCACGCCAGTGGAGTGTGAAATACCGGATTCGCTGCAGAAGAGTATGGTGATGGTAGCGAACGGCCTTTGACTACTTTTAAAATGCCATAAAACTAAAAAAAAAAAAAACAAAAAAGAAAATATTGTAAATAAAATAAAATAAAAACAGGCAGGCAGGCAGACAAAATGAAAAAATTGTTTTTCGAAAGTTTGTGGCGGATGTTCCCCCAATTGTTGTTGTTGTTGTTGTTGACCATAATTCGTGAATGCCTGCGCCTGTCTGTCAGTCCCTCTTTCCCTGTTCGTAATACTCGCGTATTTTGTGTGAATTTACCAAGACCAAGACCACTCACTGACTGTTGTGTTGTTGATCTGACAGGCCATGGGATCCATGGGTTGGCCCATTCATTTTGGCTACTCCAAAAAGGTCAAAGGTGCCAGGTGTGCCAGAGAAGTAAAAAAGGATAATGTTATGTGTGGTGAAATTAGACGTATTTATATTCTTCACTGTACTTTCATTTTTCTCATTCTTCGACTGCATCTGAATCGGATCGAAATTAAATGTATGTTGCTGACATAACCAATCTGCAAAGGGTATCAAAAGTTGCATACCCCTTAAGTCCAGGCCCGTCCTTCTTGTTTTTCATTTTTTTCGTTTTCGTTTTTTTTGTTTATTGTGGGTTTTCATTTGGATGCTTCAAGCGCAAGCGACAGATGATAATAAAAAATTTTATTACACAGAAGCTCATCCATTTGACTTAATGGCGGTCGGAATGTGGCAGGCTTTTAATGCGCCATGGCAAGGGGCAGGGGGGCATACTATATTCCAGGGTATGGTGTCTGTCTAGGCATTCCGTTACTTCTGTTTCAGCTGTTGATTGTTTAATAATTTCCATTGCCTGCTTTTCCGTCTGCTCTTCTCAAGTGGAAGACTGCATGTAATTTCATTTTTGCAATTTTCATTTAATTTTTGTTCATTTTTTTTCGGTCAGAGATTTGTAGGCCGCACTGATTGCAGCTGTTGGAATTATTTATAAATGATATACATACAGACGTATGTATGTATATATTTCAGTGTATGTATGTATATATATCTCCATTCTCCCTACAGCCGACACTCAATAAATCAGCGAAATGTGCTAGCAAAATAATAATTAATGGGGCAAGAGCGGAGCAATGCATGAAAATTCGTGAAAAATTACACAATTTGCCCCGCGCGCACACACACACGCCGCATAACCATTATAATTGCCAGCGATCCGAAATGAGCAGCTGGGGGAAAAAAGGTAGGCAGGAGTGCACTCTTAGTATGCGGCACATGTAGAAAATGAGTCAAGTGTTGCCCCCACCCACACTCCGCATTGGTAACGGAAACAGACAACATTTCGGCTTAATTTCTATGCTTTCCGTCTTTCCGTCTGTCCGTCTGCTTCTCTCGTCATTGGCCTGCCTCTGCCTCCTGCGCTCATCATCATTTGGCACAGCGAGCCGCATGTTCAATATGATTCGTGACATGTTAGGGAATTAGTGCAGGACTCTCGCTCTCCATTCCCACGAAAGTCCGCCTGAAGTCCGACCACGTGCGCCACATGTTTGTCATGCCAAGTGGCGCCACGCGGGCTGGAGCTGGAGCTGGGGCTGCGACTGGAGCTGGAGCTCGGGCTCATTAATGTGAGTTGCTTTAAGTTTTATTTATTTATTATTGGACTATTTCTCTTTGCGACTTGATTCGGTGTTGGTTTTTCCCCTGGATTTGTGCTGGCTAATTGCTTTTTGTTTGCGTAACTCCAGCTCTCGAGGCAGTGTGTGTGTGTGTGTGTCTGTGTGTGTAAAATAAGAGTTTCCCTTTGTTCGGTTTTATTGGTCTTACAAGCCAAGCAATCAAGCAATTCAAGCCGTTTTCTCTCATCAAATTCTACCTTATACTCGTATTAATAGTTCACCAACTCGATCTGCATGTGCTACTGCATCAAACTTGTTCTTTGGCTTCCTCAACGTCTTTCAAGTCGTTCGTAATTGCTGCAATTGCAATTTCTTGTCGCCTGCTCTTCTTCGATATCAAGTAGCCGACGTGTTGCCTTCTGGCTTGGCGAAGTTCTGCCACAGGAGCGCTTTGAGTTACACAAGCGATGGCCACAGTATGTTGTCACACGCAAAAATCCAGCCAGCAGGAATAACTACGAGCACTCGCCCTGCTGCCTGCCTGCTGCCTGCCGCCTGCCGGTTGTTGTTCCCGCTCACAGTTTGCGTTTAACAGTTTTGTGGCACCAAGTTTTGGGCCGTGTCTGGTTGCCACATGAGTGTCTGGCTGCTGCCCTCACTGGCTCTCACTTATCGTGTTAGCCGGGACTTGCAACCGGGGGGGAAACAGAAGAGAGAGAGAGAGAGAGTGTGTGTGTCGCAAGCGTATTTAGTTACATACATGCCTCAACATGCGGGTGTCAGCTCCGTCTTGGCTCAAACTTTTCCCCATGGCCCCATATCTTACTCATGTCTCTGTCGCCTCGTCCTCGTCCTCGTCGTCGTTGTCTACATCTAATTTGTAAAATTATTCGCACGTACTTTCTTATTAGTTTGTTTTCGCATGTAAAATTTTGGCACACAACAAAAAAAAAAAAAAACTTTTGGTTAAAAAACAAACTAGGAAATACGCTGAAGAGATGAAGGAGAAGGAGGAAGAGGCTGTTACTGTTTACAGTCTCTCATAGAAACCATATAAAAATGTTGCAAGCAAAATCATAACCCAAAAGTGTACGAAAATAACTTCAACCCAAGAATATTCCAAAGTTAAAGCCAGGAAACCCTCGACATGACCAAACCGACAATCCACTCCATCAAGCGAACCGAAAAACTGCAAAATTCTAGGCGAGAGACCTGCAAAAACCAAACAAAAAAATAAAAAAAAAACTAAAAGGCTTCAAACAACAGAAACCATACAAGCCGTAGAACAGCGACATTTGATCAAGATATTAGCAAAATGTTCAATTTATTTAGAAAAACCGCCGCGGCACATGGCCAGAAAAACATGGGAAACAATGGAGGTAAAAAGGGAAAAGAACATGTGCAACACGGGCCAAGAGGCAAGAAAAAACCCAAAAACCAGAAACCAGAAACCGAAAAATGCAAATCGAGCTCGGGGAATTAGTGACAGCCGAGCGGAAAGACCAACTCCACTTTTAGTTGCAGTTTTTCCCTCAGAGCTTTCCCCGTGTGACACTTGCAATTGACAGTCGCATCGAGGCGACTCTTGAGGTCGAGCTATGGGATGAGACTGCGACTTGAACGGAGGACTGGGACTGGGACTGGGACTGAGACTGGGACTAGCAGTGGGAGTGGAAGTGGGCTGTGGATTGTGTAAGTCAACTGCAGCCTTTCCTTTCATTCGTTCTGCCGCGGCGACAATTTAAAACTGCGAAAGTTTTAAATGTTCGCTTTTCGTTCGTTCGTTCGTTTTTTTTCCCTTTTGTGGCGCTGCTTGCCTTGCGGCAAAATGTCAAACTGTGGCCAAAGTTCGCGTGCAAAATGGCGTCCCAAGTGACTGGCGGCGGCGGCGGGTGGGGGAGGCGTGTGGCACGGTGCGGAACACGTGTGCAGTTTTCCTAAATATTTCCTTAAGTTTTCCCCACAATTTCTGCGATTACTTTTAGCCAGTGATGGTAATTTTTTAAGCTGATCCAAGATGTGCCAGCACATTGCAGTGGCGTGTGGGAGTAAAGGAAAATTGAGACACTGTGGTAGTAATAACCCACGGGCATTACGTCGCCGTTCAAATCGATACCCTGTATATCAGGCACTAAGGGGAACTGTTTTGGGGGCTCTAGCACCACTGTAGATTCGCCGGGAAGGGAGAGGGAGGCTGCCTGGACAGACAAGCAGCACTTACTTTTAATTAGCAAACAAAACGAAAGGAAAACGTAAATGAAATGACGCCAGAGCCGCCCGAAAAGTATGCAAAACTTTGGTTATTGTCGCCAAATAAATTTCACCAATTCCATTGGTAGTTGGGAAGGCAGGGCTGCGGGTGGACAGGTGTGGGTGTGTGGGGTGGGCGTTGCTGTTCCTACGAATAAACAAAAGGAGGAAAAAAAACAACAGGCGGGTAACAAAAAGTTCCAGCGACAGCAAAATTATGTGGCGTCAAATGCGGCGCGTCGGTCGTGGTGTGGGAGCTGCAACCGGAGCTGTGACTGTGGTCCCCCCCCAGCAAGGAGGGCAAATGTGTGTGGGCGGTATCAGGTGGTTTCCACCCCGGC